CTTTCTCCCTCTTCCTGGTGGGTGGGGAGGGGGTGATGCCTTTTGTGGCGGGCAGTGGGGGGGGCAGGTCTTGCCCGTGCAACTGACTGGGCTTGGTGGATCCTGCAATGGGTTGAGCTTGCCAGCCTCCGGCTTCCTTCCAAAGGCTTTGAGGATCACGTCACAAAAGGCAGCTTGTCGTCTGCTCCTGCGCTTCCGTGTCGGAGGGGTCCTCCTGTTTGTAGTGCGCGGACTCTGTGTCTCTAAATGGCATGGAGGAAAGCCCAAGGATCTTTGAGTTCCAGTAGAAATTGAAGTCTGAACCAGAAGGTGGTGGGCTCTCCTTCGTTGGAGGTGTTGAAGCAGAGGTTAGGTGGCCATCTGTCAGGAACTATTGAGCTATGATTCCTGCATTGCATTAAAAAAAATATATCAAGACTTTTTGAGCTCCACTCTCACTTTCTTCCTGCCCAGAGCAGCCTTGCCCTCTGCCTGCCTCTCTGAACCAGCAGGGCCTCAGTGGTGGTAGCCTCTCCTCCACCTCCTTGGAGCCACTACAATCTGCCCAAGGGAGCAGGCCAGCAGTGGCGGTCATGGAGAGGCAACAAGATGCTCCTTTGCAGCTCCCACTGCTGCTACTAATGCTGCTCAGGACAAGCAACAGCTCATCCTCCTCTCCAAGCTCGATGGCAGCGGTACTGGCAGGGGAAATAGGGACATTCCAGGATCAAATCAGAAGCCGGGATGGTTTTCATAATTCTGACACTGTCCCTAAAAAGTAGGGACACTTGGAGGGTGTTTAAGCAGGGTATTATAACAAGGTGCAACTGAACTGGGATCTCTAGGCCAGGAAAGACTTCTTCTGCAAGCCCAGGGCTGAGTATAAAAGTGGTCAGAGGCACAAAGTGATGGTTGATGTCTTTTCCTTTCTCCTTTTCCTGGTGTTGTGTTTGCTGGTCCTCCTTGTGTTTGCTGTTAGCTTTCAGGAAGAGAAGGAAGACCAGGAGGCATGTGTGGTCCTCATCCAGCCTTGGCTAAACCATGAAATCTTGGCTCCTGCTCTAGCTTCGCTTGGCATAAGAGAGGTGCAAACACAGATCAGGCAGCATTCGCTAAACCTTGACTTGTTAGGATGGAAATGCCCTGTAGCTTGAGATGCAGGCTGAACGCTTTTTTCCTTCTGGGCAGTCTTCTGAGGGCCACAGGGCAGTGGTAGGCAGGGCCAAGGAACAACAGGTGCAGATTTTACCATCTTAGAATCGGCTAGTTCCTACACACACAGCCCTCCCCACCCTCCATTCAGTCAAGCCAATAAAGAGGCCTGATCAGAGTTCAAGGACATATTTCCACCCAGGTGAAGGTGAAAACAGGAGAGAATCAGGGCCTGAAATGAGTTCTGAGGGCCAGTTGGTGAGGCCTCAAGGGCCACATTCCACTCCTAGGCCTGGGGCTTCTTGCTTTTGTCCTAGGAAGCGATGGAAATTCGGGGCAGCCAGTGAGGGCTTTGCTCGACAGGACTGTCTGAATTAGTGCCGGTTTTGTTTTTAGTTTAGTTTTGCGCTTGCCTCAACATTTCGCACCAACTTTGTACCTTCGCTGTGGATTTGTTGGTGGTAAATTAGAAGCATGTGCTGTTACTGCGGTTGCTGGTGTTGTTGAGCAGGGCTGATTCCTGCCCTTCCTTGTTTCATTGCTTGCTTTGCAAAATAGCTTTTAAAAATTATGAATGGAAGGTCATTGATTCATCGTTCACCCACAAGAGGGGTGAGTGCTCTTGCTCTCGAGTCCTGCTTGTGGGCTTCCCAAGGTCATATGATCATCCACTGTGAGAACAGGATGCTGGGCCAAGATGGGCCATTGGCCTGACCCAGCAGGCTCTTCTGATGTTCTTATCAGGAATAGATCCATGGCATGGAAAGGCGGGATCTTCAGGAGGCCAACATGTTCCCCAGGACTGTGGAAAAAAACCAAGGTCGTTGCTGTTTTTTTGGAATTGCATATCCAAGCTAGCTGTGAATTTCTCAGCATCTTGGAAACCCAGCTCATGGGAACTTGGAAAGTTTTCCTGGCTGGCTTTGCCAGGCTGGTTTAGATGTGGTCCACATGGCCACAAAGAACTTGGCAGGCTGAGACCGGCTTTGAAGGGCCGTTGCAGAGGAGGGTCACATTAAGTTTAGGAAGCTGTTTCCTTATACTGAATTGGACCCAAGGTCCGTCTGGCTCAGCAGTGCCTTCACGGACTGGCAGCAATGGCTCTCCAGGGCTTTGAGCAAGGAATCTCTCCCAGCCCTTACCAAGAGATTCCAGGGACCGAACCTAGAACTTTCTGCACTCCAAGCAGATGTTCTGCCCCTGAGCTATGGTGTCCCTTAAGAGGCAGGAAAAAAGGAAGAAGGTAAAGTGTTTGAGGTGCCTGGATATTGAACATCAGGAAGAACTTTTTGGCAGTAAGAGCTGTTCAACAGTTGAGCAGACCCCCTCAGAAGGTGGGCTATCCTTCATTGGAGTTTTTTAAGCAGAAGTTGGATGGTCAATTGTCCTGGATGCTTTAGCTGAGGTTCCTGCATTGCAGGGGGTTGGACTAGATGTCCCTCAAGATCCCTTCCAACTCTACGATTCCATGATGCTGGAGGGGAATGGCAAATAATAGCAGCATTCCCTGACAACCCGGAAACCACAGCAGACCTCAGTAGAAGTTGCCCGTCTGCTCTTGAGTGCTGCTGAGCCAAAGAGATGAGTGCGGGTGAGGGGTGTGGTCTAGAGAGAGTTATGAGGGCCGGACATAGGGGGCCGCATTCAACTCCTCCCTGAACCTGAGGTTCCCCACCCATGATTCAGTGTGTCTAACCCAGTCAACCAAAGTAGACAGACTGTCAGCCCCTCGGTGTGTTTGTGTGTGGCTGGAGACTGGAAACTGGGGGTGCAGCTGACGCCGGGTGCCCGGAGGTGGGGGATATATAAAGCACAAGCCCCGTGGAAGAGAGGCGAGAGCCAGCCACTCCTGCTGGCCTATTTCTGGGGTCTGCCTCCTCTCACCTGAATAGCCACGGCTCTGACTCACTGGCTCTGAGCATTCTTGCCCAGGGAGTCTTTGCAGCTTGCTCCTGCATCAACACGCCTTGGATGGAGGCCAAATAATTTCCATACCTGCCTCCTCTTTATCACATCTTGGTAAACACTGCCAGGGAACAAAAAGTCAAGGTCAGGGGAGGCGGCTGGCAAGACGCGGGGGCAGCAGCGTGCTGGAGGTCAGGTCTCGGCCAAGGGCCCTTTTTTCGGCAGGTGGGAGGGGAGGAGGCCCGTGCATCAGGGAAATGGTGCCTCCTTTGCCCAGATGCAAAATAAATAAATAAATGTCATATTGCTTAGGCAACTGGGGAATCGGGCGGCTGAATCTTTGCCCGGGAATCATCCTGCAGATTTTCACATTCAGTGGCAACACTGAACCTGCCAGGTTTGCCTCTTCCTCTACTGATGCCCTTGGGGCCAGGCAAAGGCTTTTGCAAGAGATGTGCCATGTGGCACGGCATCACCAAGTGTGGCACCTCCCTGCTGCTGCCCCCCAGCCACACGCTCACCCACATCACGGACTGGAGACCCCACAGCCCAGGGGCATCGCGGCTTGCACTGTTTGGATCAGAGATTGCTCAAAAGACAGCTCACCCTTCTCAGTGGACGCCATTGCATTGCCCTCTGCGATCTGACAGGAGAAGCCCCTTGGACTGTTTCCCGGGCAGCAAAGGGGGTTCTTGGATCGATCCTACTGCCAGGGAAGCTGATCCTACACACTCGTTCAATTGACAAATCTTGAGCAGGCATGCGGGCGGGCCGCTCTTGAGAGGCGGGTCCAGCCTGCCCCTCTGGTATATAATGAAGGCATATAGCTTGCACTGGAGCCACTTCTCCCTCCCTCCCCATATTGCTGTCACATGTGGCTCTGCTGGACTTTGCAGTAGCATAGTCGGCTGCCGTATTTGGCGCCAAGTTGGAATTTCCCCTAATTCCAGCATTCTGGTTTTCGCCATCCTCATAGTACTCATCACATCTTTAGTGGTTTGAGTAGGTGTAGTCTTGGACAGAGAGGAGGTTATGGCCTCTGCCTGCCCCTCTGAGAATGGAGTATCCCGTTAAAGGAATCCAGAGGAGATGCTTCTGTCCAGATGCCCAGGTGGGGGCAAGGGGCCACAGCACACACACACCCCAGATGCAATCCAGCAGGGGGGTTATTCCTTCATGTAGGTCAGGGACTCCCTCACTTCCAGCTGACCCCAAACGCAAGTCCTTCCAGCTTACTTTTAGCCCACTTTGGGTGGGCCAAAAATGGTGTTATGCATCTTGTTCTTGAGAGTGGGGTGGTCTGAAGGGCAGGGGGGACACCTTGCCACGCAGGGAGAACCAAAATGGCACCACCTGGGTGTGGCTTTTGTGACATCTAGCTGAGTTGTTATGTATTGAGTTTAATAGGATCCAAATAGGATGCAGCAGTCTGATTGGTCCTAGAACAATAGAACCCAGAATGCAGCAGGAGCCACCCAATCCAGCTCCAGGTGGAAGTGAATCCGCAACCTGATTGGCCTACAGGAGAATCCCGGAATTAGCCAATCATGTGGGGCCCATTGTGTAAATAATGTATATAAAGCAGACATTCTGAGGGAACTTCCATTCCTCCTCACAACTATGAGCTGAATAAAGAGCATGAAATCCACTCTCAACTCCGAGTATATTTCATGAACCCTCCAATATTGCATAATACCTGTGTTTATTAATAGCCACAATATCCAGAGGTGGCTTAAACCCAGGGTGGGTGGAGGACCTTCGATCTGTAGGCCAAATTGAGCCGGCCAAGTCTCCCCAAGGTGAGGGTTTTTCAAAACTGGCAAGCAAGAGTCCTTTGGGTCACTGGCCTGGCAGGTAGCAGACCACTCAGCCATGAAGGGTTGAAAACTTGGTTGGACCTAGTGGACAAGGCGCCTTGCTATGGATTCCGTTCTTAATGCTGTCCTTTCCCTTTGCTGTCTTAGGTAGTGGACCGATCCAACTGTGGCAGTTCCTGCTGGAGCTCCTCACAGACAAGTCCTGCCAGTCCTTCATCAGCTGGACAGGCGACGGCTGGGAGTTCAAGCTATCTGATCCGGATGAGGTACGTATGGGCCTGAATCAGGCCTGGAGAGACACTCGTGCTTTAAGGGAAGGAATAAATAAATAAGGACCTAGAGCAGTGGTTCTCAAAAGTGAGTGGCACTGCTCCTGGGGGGGCAGCATGAATCCCTAGGGGGGCACTAAGAGGTAAGGGGACAGCAGGTGGACTTTGGAGATGGAAATGACTACGAAACTTTGAAAAGCTGGTATCACTGGATCAAATTTATATTTTGTGTTGAATTAATTAAACTAAGGGTTTATCCGTACTTACCTCTCTTCTGCTCTTATCCAGACATGGTCCATGCTTGAGTAAGGCGGCGGCGGGGGGGGGGGTTGTTGCCCCATGAAAAGCTGCTCTTTAAAGCTCAATTGGAGTGAATGGCAATCTAATACCCAAATTGACGTATTTAAAAAGTCCACCTCCTGTCTCTCTTCATCGCCTTTCTGTCCCTTCTGCATCCACACCAGATATTTACACCACTGCTAAAGGTCTAAGAACCGTAGAGTATGTTAAGTTGTGGGTGAACATATCAGACGACACAGCGATTCTTCAAACAGCTCTTGTGTATTCACAGAACAGAACTGAACTGAAGGGTTCAGTCAGCCTGCTTATATAGAGCTCCAGTACAACGTAACTGTAACAATTTTCTAAAACTATCCAATCACTGAACGTCACTTTCGATCCCTTATTTGCATAACTATCTACAGTATCCCCCTGCTGGCCCAAGGTGAGAACTTCAGTATATAACAGAGTATCCTGGGAACTCTACTTTGTGAAGGATGCTAGGAACTGTAGCTCTGCAAAGTCAGCACCCTTAGCAAACTACAGTTCCCGGGATTCTCCATGACCATTAAAGCTGCCTGAGGGTATTTTGCGCGATTGGCGTTGACGCGTTTATTTCCCTTCCGAGCTCCCCAAGGACTTTCCATGATGTTTCTGGTGTCCTTGCCATTCCCAGGTTGCAAGGAGGTGGGGCAAGAGGAAAAACAAGCCCAAAATGAACTATGAGAAGTTGAGTCGCGGGCTGCGTTACTACTATGACAAGAACATCATCCACAAGACGGCCGGGAAGCGCTATGTCTACCGTTTTGTGTGTGACCTGCAAAGCTTGCTGGGATACACGCCCGAAGAGCTACACGCCATGTTGGATGTGAAGCCAGATGCCGATGAGTGAAGGGGATGAGCAGGCAAGAGCAGAAGTCCTTGTAGATGGATTCAGGGCATCCATCTAGGCGTTCAATTGAACTTCTGTCGTTTGTATTTTTTTTACTGTCATGGTTTTCCTTTTAAAAGAGAGAGAGAGAGAGAAAGAAACAAGAATTTCCACTGGTTGTAAAAGGGGAGGGGGGACACATCATGCTTTTGGATGAAACTGTGACATATTTTGGCTGGGAGGAGAAATGGGAAAAAAAAGATTTGAATGTCCTTGGAGAGTTTTATTGGGGGCTGATATTTTAAAAGTCAGTGGGGGGAAGAGCGTAAAAGTTAACCGCCCTGTTACAATCACATGATAAATAAAGAACTCCCCGCCCTCCCCCCGAGGTGCCATAAACTGACAATCCATAAGCTCATAAGGCTCCCTTTTGATTTTAAGAGTGAGGAGTGGCCTTTGGGGGGTGGGGGCAGAGCATCCTCTTCTGCAGGGAAGTCACATTGGTGGTCCTAAATAATTTTGCATTTCAAAGAGCAAGCTTGCTTCTTAAGAGGGACCAATACCTTTTTTTTGGAATTTGTAAAAAGAATGTTATTTTATTAAAATTTTTGTGCCAGTATTTTTCTCTAAAATAGTCTTAAGCTCTAAGATGGTCTCGGTATTGCAATATTGTGTTGTCGTTGGTGTTTTTATTTTTGTTATGCCAGCTGCGGATTCTATCAGCATTTTTTTGGTGGTGGTGGGGAAATACAGAGGCTGTGTAGACCCCTCCAGAAACAGAAGCATTTAACTGTTCAGTAGAAAATCCAGATACACCCTAGGAGTGGTGGGTGGGGAGAGATTTGTGGGTGAATGACTCTTTTGCCTTCACACTGGGTCTCCCACACCTTACTCTGTTTCTGCTCTCCAATTCCAATTGGTGAATCAGTTTTGTGTCTTTGGGAGGGGGGAGGGGCTCTTTCGATCAATAGTTTTATCTGGACTTTCCTCCACTTTCCCTATGCCTTTTCAAGATATATTAAAGAAAGGTTTTTCTTCCAGCGTTGAACTTTAGGATTGTTTCCAATCCTCTAATTGGTGGGAGGACCCAGCCCTCCATGTCTAATTGGTCGCTGGTTCTTCAGCTTACAGGCCCCAGTTCCTCAATATCTCAGGTTGTGCTTAGAATGGGGTACTTTGTAAACAGAATAGCTCTTCCCGCGAAGGTCCCCTAACCGTTCTCAGGTCACCAGCGTACATGTAGGAGTATCGTGGAGGAATCTGCCTGCTGGATCCACTCCTGGTGTGTAGAACCTTTCCACAAAGTCAGCTCATTAAGCATCAAGTCAGGGCCAGCAGCCGTGAGCCTAATTCATAGACACGCACACCTATTTGCAGTTTCCAAGTAATCTCCATGCCAAACTATGGCTTAGGTAGGGGGGAATGTGGGCTCCTGGAAGTGGGATAGATACCATTTTGTTTCTCCTCCAGTCCTGATGCTCTGCTGTGTTTGCAAAGCCTTGAGCTCCAAACTCAGGCAGTCCCAAAGAAGCAAATGGGAACATTTCCTTCCTAAAAGTGGCTTTTTAAGTTCCTTTTTTATTACAGAAGAAGGCAGTTGAGGTGGTGAAGCGAAATCTACTGATTTATTTGCCTTCCTTGCTCCTTTTTAATGTTCATGATTTAGCTGATGGAATGCTGATGCCATTGAGCCATTGTGGGTGTCAGCACCCTCCACACCGCCCCTCCCCAGCTGTGATTTACAGTGACGACACCTTGGTTTACAGGCCTGGATGTATCCTTGGCAAAGGAGCCACACCAACCCCACCTCCCTGAGTATAACTGCATGTTTGTAACTACGTGTTTGTTAAATTCGCACTTAATAATTTTTACACCAGCCCTTAATGGATCCTAGATCCACATCACTGCGGAAATGTATTGTGTGAATTGGCCAGAGTTCCCTTTAGAACAAAACTGGATAACTTAAATCTGTGACCTTAAAGCGGCAAATAGTTGAATGTGTTTTAATTTTTGCTTCACGCTGAATCATTTCAATCATGCAGAATTAAAAGAGGGGGAACTCCTGGGTCAATGACGGGCCACCGGAATTTGAAGCAGATCAGGACTTGAGATAATAACATCTCAGGTTGGCAGGGCTATAAGAAAAAAAGAGCAAACACTGTTGTTGCTGAGGTCCCTTTCTCACGAACGTCAGAGGAGGTGGTAAATCTATTGGAAGGCAGTCCAGAACAGTTCCCTGCACACACAAAAAGGCAGAGAGAAGGAAGGAGTATAACTGTAATTAATTGAAAAACCAAATTCAAGGTTGTGTCCAACTAGGTTCTACTCAGAGCACAGACCCATTGGAAGTAATGAACCTAAGTTAGTCATTTTTGTTTTATGTATTAAAATGTAATTTATGAATCGCTTCCCATGAGATATCCTGAATTGATAAAGAGTAGAAAGCACATCAACAACAAAAACATACCTAACTGCTCTGAGTAAAACATTGGAAAGAACCACCGAACTAGAGATGGGAAACATTTGGTTCTCCAGGCAGAGCTGAACTCCTATCATCCCCCAAAAACGTGGCCCAATGGCCAGGAGTGATGGGAAGTGTAGTTCAGCAGGCAAAGGTTCCCCCACAGTTGCCCCAAACATTACACCCCTCTCCTTAGCATGCCAGTCTTTCACGTGGACTGGCTGGGTTGGAGGAGCACTTGATACTTCATTCCTCTGACCACCTGGCTGGGAACAAGGAATGTATTTAGCCATGGCTGATTGGAGATCTTGGTTTTGATTGGTGGGAGATAAACCTCGGCATTTCTCAGGACAACATAGGACATAGTTTCTGAGTCAAGGATATTGATGGTGGGTGTTCCTGGAATGGGTGTAATGATGACTGAATCTCCAGTTCAGCTAGATTTGATTCCAGTAGAGAGGAAGAAGAGCCAGAGTAGAACATGAGAGGAAAGAGGGGGTAGTGGAGGGGGGGGGAAAGGTTGTATCCATAAAGCCAAAAAATGGTGCCTTTCAGCCAGGCATTAGGGAGCCTTTGGCTGTCCAGATGTGGCTCAACTACAATTCCCATCAACTCTGGCCACTGCCTGTTTGCCAGAGTTGTGGAGCCAGAGTTTGGCAACATCTGGAGGGCCAGAGGTTCCTCATCCAAGCTTCAGAGTTTCCCAAGCTTTGGGTCTCTAGCTGTTGTTGGAATTACAACTCCCATTATCCCTAACAAGCGGGACCAGCAGTCAGGGGTGATGGGAATTGTAGTCTGAAAAAATCTGGAAACCCAAGTTTGGGGAACACTGCTTTAGATGTAGGCAAAGAGGGGGAAACACCTGTGGCCACAAACCAGCCAACAGGAGACAGAAGAGAAGCTGACATCAAGCTATAGGAAACAACCAGGTGGCATTTCTGTGTCCCAGAACTACTGAAGCCTGTTCCTGTTTCTAGTTAAGCACCCAACAGAGACAGTTCCACTGGTCTGAAAAGCATAGTCCCAAAATGACCAATTCACCTGATGAGCTACTAAGGTGTCAGCTGGAAGTTACACTACCCATGTGAAGCTACACCAGAACCTCTGGAGTGCTCATCTGAGAGCTTTTGAGCACTGAGTTGTCCCATCTGTGAGGTAGACTTTGGAAACTTCTGTTTCTGTTTTCGATTAAGCACAGCTCACCATGTTGTCCAGACTTGATGTGGCTTAAGATTAGCTGTGGTATGTTGAAACAAGCCCATTACAAACCATATTTTAAGAAGCTGGCTTGTTTCAACAAACCACAGTTTAGGTATCAGACTAAGTCCCTTCACTGTGGTTGAACTAAAACCAAGTAGAGCCTTCTGAGCTCTTTGCGGCCAATTGGAAAGAAGGAAAGGGGGTGGGAGTGGCTCATCCTTGCAGTGCTCAACTGTGTCTTGCAAGTGATTAATTCAGGAACTCCAGGAAATTCAGTTCAGAAAAACAACAAACAGCCATTTTACAGCCCAATGGCATAAGTTGTTGGGTTTTTCTTTGCAAAAGCAATTCCTTCACTGGAGAGGCAGGTTAATAAAGAGTGGAAGAATTGCCCAGTCCAGAGTCCTGCCACTGGCCTGGATGCAATCTAAGGCAGCAGCTGGAGGGAAATGAATATGGCAAATCCAGGGCTGGGATACTGTCCTCCTTGTTGGGGGAACAATAGAACTTTGGGTCCTGTGGGTGCAAGGCCTCTATCTAGATCCACCCCAACATGCCCGTTTTCCCTCTTTCCTGACAACAGAGCAGTGATGGGGAACGATGACTGCAGAGGTTCCTGTGGCCACAGTGAAGAGGTCTCCATGGGTGGACCTCCTCAGTACCCTCTAGCCCCCAGGGCACCCTCTCAGGGCCCACAGGATTGTCTCTTTAGACAGTATAGTACAGTGGTACCTCGGGTTACAGACGCTTCAGGTTACAGACTCCGCTAACCCAGAAATAGTGCCTCGGGTTAAGAACTTTGCTTCAGGATGAGAACAGAAATCGTGCAGTGGCGGCGCAGCGGCAGCGGGAGGTCCCATTAGCTAAAGTGGAACTTCAGTTAAGAACAGTTTCAGGTTAAGAACGGACCTTCAGAACGAGTTAAGTTCTTAACCCGAGGTACCACTGTATTGTATTGCAACCTGCTTCCGAATTACCATTGAAAATTCTGATCTGATAGTTAAACAACTTGCTCTAACAGATACGCAGAGGGAACTTGGAAGACGCCTTTGCCAAGGATAGCTTTTAATTAATATCTGAAATGCTTTTTTCTGCATACCCCTAAACATTTTGTGAATCTAAGTCTGGCCTCATTGAGGGGCAGTATTTAAATATCAGTAGGAAAATGAGAGTACCCCTAAACTTTTTTTTTAAGGGAAAAATGCGCTGAGGACACCTCTACATTTTGGGTGACTTTTGAACCTCACTGTCTTTAGAGAATATATCTGTGGACCAATCCACACATGACAAGGTTTGGATCGTTGGACCAGGAACTGCTGTTCATTGTGGCTTCCTGCTATGTGTGTCTGCATGTTGGTAAACATTGTTGTCTCATTCTCACATGGCCTATTTCAGTGTACGTTGTTCAGAAGACCTACGCCTAAAAAGTGTTGAGTGTGGAGCATCTCTCTGTGGCGCTGTGTTGATGTGCCAATGTGCCTCCTTCTGCATTCATGTGCCTGGAGATTCACCTCCTTCCTTCCTTCCTTCCTTCCTTCCTTCCTTCCTTCCTTCCTCGCTCTGTTCTGTTTCTGACGGGGTCTCTGTAGCACCAGTGAACTGTGCACTCCATTCCAAAGAAGTTTGAATAGATGATAACTGATGTATACATATATGTTTATGACAGAAATATCTCCAGGAATTAACTGCCTCAGTGAAACAAGTTATTATTTGAGAAGAAGAAGAAATGTATGTTGTTTGTACAATTACTATTTTTTGGTCTTTGTTTTTATACCTGGTTTTTGTTTTGGTTTTTTTAAGCTGATAATTTTAGAAGAAGAAAAAGATTGTTATATTATGCTGTTCAACTATTTTCCAACTTGTATTTTCATATAATTTATATTTTATAGAACTGAAAGGGAGAAGAAAAAAAACCTTAAAAAGCAAGATTTTTTTTAATTAAAAAAAAGGAGAGAAAAAAGCAGGTGCTTTTTAGGAAAAAGAAAACCAAACTCATCTGAGGTAGCTTAGAGATGTAGCGATGTCTGTATGTGTGTGTGTGTGTGTTTTTAAAAAAAGAATTCCAAAATGCAATTCCCTCCCACACTGAAGACTTAATAGGGAGCGGAGTTGGTTTTGTTTTAATTGCTGATGCTGGCACATCATTCTTCTGGAGAGTCTTTTATATACTGTAGCCTTATTTCATATTGTATTTTAAACCATTTGAAATTTAAAAAAATAAATAAATCACAAAGCTGTCCCTTGCCCTGGTCATGGTTGTCAGCATGCTTGGCCTTGTCTTTCGCTGAAGACCACAGGTCACATCGGGGTGGAAAGAGAAACACGCACAGAGTGCCAAAAGGCACGTAGGCAACCTGCTTACGGAGCAGTCATCCCCATTTGCTTGCACGAAACTTACATAGATGTTTGATTATGTATCCAGTCTGTGTTCCAACATTCACTGGAGAGCCAGTGTGGCGTAGTGGTTAAGAGCGATAGACTCGTAATCTGGGGAACCAGGTTCGCGTCTCTGCTCCTCCACATGCAGCTGCTGGGTGACCTTGGGCCAGTCACACTTCTCTGAAGTCTCTCAGCCCCACTCACCTCACAGAGTGTTTGTTGTGGGGGAGGAAGGGAAAGGAGAATGTTAGCCGCTTTGAGACTCCTTCAGGTAGTGATAAAGCGGGATATCAAATCCTAACTCTTCTTCTTCTTCTTCACTCAGTAAGGTAAGTAAAAGCCGTGTCGGATCAGGCCAACGATCTATCTAGCTCAGCATCCTGTTCTTGCAACATCCAACCAAATGGTCCAATAGGAAATCCACAAGCAGGATCCGAGCATTGCTGCCTCTGCGCTCCATTGTCTCTCGAGACAGATGGATATCAATAACAAAAATAGCTGCCTCCAGCTGTGGAAGCAGAGCACAGCCTCCATCATGACAGGTAGCCAAAGACAGCCCTCTACTCCATGAATTCGTCTAACCCTATTTTAAAACCAAACTGGCAACCATCACGGCCTCCAGTGGGAGTGAGTTCCATAGTTTAACTATGCACCAGGTGAAGAAGTTCTTTCTTGATCTGTCCCGAATGTTTCTTCTTAAACCGCTTAGAGGTTTTATTATAATTATATTATTATTGTTGTTGTTGTTGTTGCTGTTGTTTATTAAATTTATGGGTCTCTTTTTCTTGCCAAAGGCAACTCAAAAGCCAAAAAAACGAAAACTCAAATAGATATATTAGAACAAACAAACATATACATTGAAATACATTAAAAACACCCACCTTTGTGGAGAAGTGCCCAGAGATATTGAGCTTTTTGGAGGGGATTACCCAGGGTTGTTGAGCTTTTTTAGGGGGAATTGCCAAAAAAACGCTCAATACATGCTTCGCTAAATCTGCCTCCCATCTGTCCCATCGCCAGCAGAAGCTGCAAGTCGCCCGCCCAACAGCTGGAGCATCAGCCAATCAACACCACCCATTGACGCAGCAACCAATAGCACACACAATAGCCGCTGACAGCCTTGGCAGCAACCAATGAAACGTCCACCCTATGCATTACCCATGTATAAGACGACCCCTACTTTTTAGCATGATTTCAAAAGAAAAGAACATAGTCTTATACATGGAAAAGTACGGTATGTTGCAACCACTTCTTGAAAGTTCTAGGACTGTCCCTAATTGTGCAAACCTTTCTTCCTATTTTACAAACTGTGGGGCTTGGGGGGGGGTGGTTTGCTTGGTTGTGAGTGCCACGAAATTTGCAAAATGGGCTCACCTTCCCCCAAACGGTAAGTGGGTCTCATAAACAAAATTGGTTGCAACATATTACAGTCTGATGCCTGTAAATGGAGAATAAGAATTTTAAAAGGCTGGCTTGAGCCTACAACACAGACTGTTTCTCCACACCTCCTGGATGCTGATCTTTGTTTCTCATCCAGGAATGAAAATGATTTAGCTGACTCAGCCGCGCTGCTCTGCCCAGCCTCTGTGGGGGCTTGGAAGTCCTGTTTGTGCAATGCCGGGGACTTTGCTGGAAATGCAACAACCCCCACCCCACCCACAAACACCCAGTAAACAGCCAAGACAGCTGCCGGGAGATCAGGCAAGCTCTTCCAGTTGGTACTGTCAGTTGGAAAGTGGTGTGGCTCAGTGGGCTCCTGGATCAGTCTAAGGCAGCAGCTTATAAAATTTATAGGTAAAGGTAAAGGGACCCCTGGCCATTAGGTCCAGTCATGGCCGACTCTGGGGTTGCGGCGCTCATCTCGCTTTATTGGCCAAGGG